AGGGGGGCTGCCAAGCAGACTGCTAGGGGGGCTGCCAAAGCAGACTGCTAGGGGGACTGCCCAGGCAGTCCCTCTGGCAGCGCGTTCCAAAAATGCAAATTAAGACTGCCAGGGAGACTGCCAAGCAGACTGCTAGGGGGGCTGCCAAAGCAGACTGCTAGGGGGACTGCCCAGGCAGTCCCTCTGGCAGCGCGTTCCAAAAATGCAAATTAAGACTGCCAGAGGGACTGCCAAGCAGACTGCCAAGGGGGCTGCCAAGCAGACTGCTAGGGGGACTGCCAAGCAGACTGCTAGGGGGGCTGCCAAGCAGACTGCTAGGGGGGCTGCCAAAGCAGACTGCTAGGGGGACTGCCCAGGCAGTCCCTCTGGCAGCGCGTTCCAAAAATGCAAATTAAGACTGCCAGGGAGACTGCCAAGCAGACTGCTAGGGGGGCTGCCAAAGCAGACTGCTAGGGGGACTGCCCAGGCAGTCACCCTGGCAGCGCGTTCCAAAAATGCAAATTAAGACTGCCAAGGGGACTCCCTCCATACTTAAGGATACCTGCAAAGGAGGCTGCTATGGGAGCGGGGACTGCTAGGGAGACTGCAAAGCAGGCTCCATGGGGGGACTGTAAAGGAGACTGCAAGCAGACTGCAAAGGGGACTACTTTTCTAGCTGGGAAATTTCAAATCTTTTAAGTTTTAAAAAACTACTCTTTCTTTACACAATGCAAAATGTATTCAAAGTGATATTTTTTGCAGAATTTTACCCAATTTTTGTAAGACTTTTGCATTAGTGCATAAAAACATTTTGCTGTCTCTTTTTAAAATAATTCCAAAATACTCCTTTTATCATGTTACTTTTCTGTTTACCCTTCAATATCTCAAGAACTCAAGCTTCTCTAAGGCTTCTCAATTAACACCAACAGGCATAAGGGGTGCTATAGTGTTTTGAATGCTAGGATAGCTAAGCTCACCATGGGTACTATGTTTTAATGGAGTATGACCCAAATGAGAATATAGCTTGTGTAACCTATATGCATTTAGCAAAAGTGTGTAATAATAAATACAACATGTTTACATTATTTAATGTTATTTACTGAGCTTTGTATGTTAAATGTTTGTTTTTCACATTTAATTATGTCTAGCATTTGTGTATTTTTCATAGAAAGATTTATCATTTACTATCTTACTAAACCTAAATGTGTAAATACTGCATTATTTGTAGAAATGTACTATGCCCTAACCCAGTCGGTGAATAGCTGCAAAGCTAATGTTTCTTGAATGAAATAAATCTATTGTATTGTATTGTATAGTTTCCTTTACATTGCATGGTTTAACATAAGAATTAGTGTTTATTCCTAACCCTTTCCCCCTCCCATTGGTTTTTCACCCAGAATCCATCTAACTTCCCTCTTGCTTACTACTAAATTAAAAGAATCTTTGGTGTTGATAAAAAAAATTGGTTCTAAATATTTTCGTGTTTTGTATATATATTTTGAAGAATGTTATAAATGTGACTGATGCATACAATGTAAAGAAAAAATTGAAAATTTGCACGAATGAGTGATGTGAAAACTAGCCTCTTGCAGGGGGGTCCAAACCACTCCTTTAATTAATGAATTAAATTGGGGAAAATATTCCAGACAAAATTTGTATTATCTGCTTCAGTGGTGACCATATAATTATAGAAACAAAGGTTCAAAGTCATTTTTACATATTCTTTCACATTTTAACAACTATAGTAAAAAATGGACAAAATGCCTTAAAATGATATTGCATGTCACTGTTGTCAAGATGGCATTTTACTTTTTTTTTCACCCACCAGAGTGATGCACTTAATTCTCCCACATGTTCAAAGCCTATATACTGACTGTGAATGAAGACCTAAAGAAACTCCTGTATCTTCTTTTTCAATGGTTCCAGTTTGTATTTTGCAATGTTGCATTAATTTTACAATATTGGTGGAGGCAGTGCTTCTCTTATACACCTTTTGTTAACATTTTTTTTTCATTTTTTAGATAGTGTGATGGAAGTTGCAGTGAGATTTTTGTGTTAGTGAGTGAAATATTTTTGTATATTTGCTGTGATATTTGATATCATGATTTTATTAAGGAATTCTATATCAGATGAACTGAAACAAAGAAATGAGATTTTCCTGTGCAAAGAACATTTTATGTGGTCAGCCTTATTTAGTCATTTTATCTGTCAGAATATGTAGAAAATTAGATTGGGATATGTGCCGACTAGGAAGAAGTAAAATCCTTATAACTAATTAAAATGTATACATGTACTGTCCTAAATAAGTTTGATGATTTCAGCATAATCATGTCAGACATTGAAGAAAGAGGTTCATAAATTGATGTAATCATTATTAACAATTAACTGCACAGTGCATGTTATTTTATTTGAATTTTTTATGGCAATATCCATTTTGGCCAAAAGATGTATCAAGTGTAAGCAAATAAAAAGCTGTATGTGCATGAATATGAAGATAATGTAAATAAGTAAATGTCATGATAGCGAAGAGGATTTATTGCAAAATGATTGTTAATAGAGGAGTATATTCACCACACTGCAGATTAATAATATTTTACATTTTACTGCAAGATCAATTATTTATTGAAAGAGAATAAATGTTGCTTACAGAGAGACTTTTTCTGATAGTCATTTTGCTGAACATATTTTATTTTTAAACTAGTGGACATCTCTGCCAAACCTGTAAATAAATTTATAATAACAATTAAACAGCAACATCTTTAAATCAATTGCAGGCATGTCAAAGAAAATTTTTGAAATATTTAAATAATCCATCTTATAGAGAACAATGTTTTAAGGAATCTTTTACACCACCTTGTTATCATACAAAGCTAATGCTAGATTAAATGCAATGTTTAGAAAATCTGCAACTAAACTGCATGGCTTCCTGAAATATTGTATAGATAGTTGTTCAGTTGGTGGTACACACTTCCAGGTGCAGTGTAGATCTCACTTTATCAACAAGGTCTCCTTTCTTGTCTTTAGTTTTGCAGGGTATGCCTCTTTCTTTCAACCAAGCCACAATTGTCACTGTGTTCACTTTACCCAGCTAAAATGAGAAGTTGTTTAATTTCATTTATTTCCATTTTTATTAAAATTAATTTAAAATAATTTTAATTGAAATGAAATATTGAAAGAAATTGTGCTTTTCATAAGGTTAAACCAACATCAGATATTTTTTTAAATATTGAAATATTTGAAAACTTCTCAACATGAGTGCTAACCCACCAAGACTTAAGTTCTTGACAGTAAATAATTCAGTAATATTGAAATCCCTGTCAAATATAAAGCAATCAGAGAACATTGCTGTGCCTCTTAAGCTAGGTATTTACCACAGTGCTATAAAGTAGGATGTGTATAGCTGTGTCTCTTTCTGTATTTAGGTAACCTTACCTGATTATTGTATGCCAGTTCTTCTATATTCACGTTCTCCTGGACTTTAGGTTTGTTCCTTGGTTTCTTTGACTGTAGCTTCATGGTTTCCTCAAACTTATGTTAAGAAATTTTCATGAAAAGTTTATGTCCATTAAAATTAAAGCAATGACAACTTACTGTGTGGTTACGTATAATTATAATTAGCCTATGGATCTCTTGCTTTTTAAGACAAATTTGAATGTGAAATTATTAAAAAAAGACTACAAAATGAAAGAGGTGTCAATTATCCAACTACTTCACATCATGTGCCTCAAATGCTATATATGTAACTGCAGTTTTTTCATTTAAGAAAGAAAAATGTTATTACAAACCTCATCATCCATTCTCTGTACTTTAGCTGGAGGGTGTGAGGCTGTGGTATAACTGGCATGGCCCTGGATAAGAGATACTGGTGTCACTTCAGGCTTGTTAGTTGTTAGTTCTTCCGGACAGCCACTTTCTACAGTACCAAGTCTTGGCATTCTAGATACTTGAGCAGAAGCAGAGTTTGTTTTGGCAAGACTGAGTTTTTTGGTGCATTCAGTCCAAGGTAAATCGGAGGTCCCAGTGGGCTGACTTCCTGATACAGATGTGACAGACATGGGTGACTGGAGTATCCCATTTCTTTCTGAGTTTCTTATTTTTATAGTGGTATCCTTAGTGACTGAGGCAATCTCCTTTGATTTGCCAACAAGTCCAGCTGTTTTTAACTTCTTGGGTTTAAATATTGGCACTATTCTAGATGCAGAGGCAGATACCTCACCAATGTCGGTGCTTGAAGATCTGCAAGCTAGTTTCTTTGTGGATTGGAATTTTGGTACTACTCTATTTGTCTGACAAGAAGCAGATGTGCCTTCTTCAGACTGCTGAGGTTGACTCATTGTGCTACTAGCACTAACCTGTATACCACCATTGTTGATTTTCCCATCTAGCCTGCAACCGTCAATGAAAGAAGATGCACTTGATGTAGTAGCTCCCTCCTGGTCTGGTTTTGCAGGTACCTTCTGTGTTTCTGCTGTACTGCCATGCTGGGGCACCAGTTGTTGAATGGGGTTCTGTGGAGTTGAAGAATACAGAGCAGCAAGTAGCTGCAGAGAGGGTGGGGCCTGTGGTCCTCCGTACTGTCGCAGAGGCAGTGGTGCCAGAATGGTGTTTCTCTTATATGGATATGTGATCTTCTCTGGGGGCTTGTGGACCAAGTTGGCATTATTCTTGCTGCTTGGTTCTACCTGCAATATTTATATATTCACTTATTAGATCAGCAATGAAATTGGGGTTAACTTACTAATTACCTAATAATAATGTATAGCATTACATGAATTACTTATATAATTCTTATACATCGTATATAAAATCCATCTGAACAATTGCCAGTATGGGCCATCTGTGGGTGGCTTTTGATGGAAATTCTTTAACCTGTGATTTTTTTAAAAATTTCACATAAAATTGTTCTTCATATCACTCTTGTTTCTCAATTTATTTTTATATCCATTTTTCACAATGCAACCAAATTAATTCCTGTTGATTTACCTGAGTAGCATCCACTAAAGCAGGCACTGGTTTCCAAACATTTTTCTCAAGCTGTAGTTTCTGCCCACAAATCCTTGGCATTTTGGCTTGTAGATCTTGTAAAAATGAGTGTACTGTCTGTGGGGAACCAGGTCTGGAACCTACAGCTGGCTCATGTGTACGCAAGCAGCAACTGGGGTAACTTTAATCATTGTATTTAAAGAATATATCTGCTTATAGCCAATATATATATGTATGTGTTTATGTCCACATTATTTAAACTTATAAAAGTCACCCCCCCAAAAAAATAAATAAATAAATAAATAAATAATAAATAAATAAATACAAAGCTGACAACTGACCATACTCCAATATCAGAATGGGGATATCAAGTATAATAATGGGGATATCAATATCTTTATGATGTTGTTTGTTTTACATTTCTCCTGTTTAAACTTAAGAGTTGTCAAAAACTTATAGTAAGATTTAGACTTTTTAAAAACTTCTAAATTTTAAGAAAAAGATACGTAAAAAGAGTCTGGCCTATGGGCTTGAAATGTATTTGACAGTAGAACAAGCCTTCCTCATTCTCTGGTAGACGATAGCCATGCTGAACAAAAAATGGCTTATTAAAATATATATCAAATTTAAACTTAACTTGAATATCCAAATATAAACATTTAGAAACAACTGTTTAAACAATTTAAGTTAAATAAGCTCAAATTAAATTTTTAGTCCTGCACATTTTATGACTCATGTTAGGATTTCTTTTTATGCAATATTCAAATCGCATGGGTAATGTAGTATTATGCAATTTATGATTTTTAAATTTTTAATTGACATAAAAATTTGAACCTGAGTTTATCAGTTGCTTACCATGTTTTTCCAATGTCTCTTCATTTCTCTGTAACTTCTGAAGACACCGTCTGTGGGGAGACTGCAGGTAACAGCAACAAGTTTGCCTTTCTTCATGCTGAATTGAAATGGAGTCCCAGAGAACGTGGGCATTAAATGTGCTACAGAAACTAAACTGAAATTCATATTACTTCAACCTCAATAGGAACATGAACAGGAATAAAAAACATTTCTTTAATAATAATTAACAATAAATCCAAAATATCAAAGTCAAATTAGGCTTACACAGGGTAATGGACAGGTGAAGTAGTTTTTTATTTAAATACAATTGACTGTAATTCTGAAAAAATCAAGCAATGCTGACAATAGTTAAAGATCAGTGTTATAATATTACACCTGGGTAAAACATAAAACCACTGATTTCCCAGTGAATATTCATCTATTCTGCTGTGAGGATTCTGTACAAGTTCTAGCAATACTGACTGTGTTATGTTCAGATCTTCCAACTGAAATAGATTTGAAGATTTGTAAGAATATTTTTATTGTGCATCAATTCAATAAAATATGATTTTGAGTTCTGTAAGAGATTTTATAAAACAAGCTGAAATCATCAAGTGGTCAAGTTATTTAAAACATTGTCATACACCTGTTAAGATTTCACTCAGATGCAAAAAATGTAGTTGTTTCACCTGGTCAAAATTTCAACCTGTTTAACAGATGAAAGTGGACTTGATAGTTTAAAGAATGATCGGTGCAAATTTACCTTCATTGGAGGAATCCGTAAAACAGTGGAGCGAATCATAAAATACATTTCATTGTCATTTACACTAACTTCTAGACCTGTATCAGAAAAAATAGTTTCATTACAGTGATTACTTTTCCAAAAGTATTTTACACTTTTCTGTGATTTTCATACTTATCTAAGTAAACTTTTTAAAATATCATTTAATTTAAAAGTTATAATTCGCTTGACCATAATTAAAAATTTAAAAATTGTTATCATATTTTAATTTACTTACCTACTGCATTCATATTGATGGAGATTTGTAAAAAGTCTCTCCCTGAAAATGAAATACAAAAATACTTAAATGCTGATATAAGGTTGATGGATTTTTCTAAACCAGCCTTTTGAAACTAAATATTCAAACGTACAGAAAATATATAAATAAAGTTTTCCAAAGTACTATACACCCTTTTAACAGAACCATTTTTGGTGAGTTTGAAAATTATTACAGAGATACTCAATATCAATAAAACATCAAACTATTCAAAATAATAAACTGCTTTAAAATGAAACAAATTTTAAAATTCCTTCTTTAAATTTTAAGATCAGTCTTTACCTTGTACAAGCCATTCCCCCACTTTATTCCAATTTGGTGCTATCTTGGCAAGCAATGTGTACTGCAGACATTCCTTGTACAAAACAGGGGTCACGTGATGAGGCTGACCTGCCTGTTGGTTAATAAATTTGTAAAATAATTGTCATTTTTTCACAGAAATCAAGTGACCTTAAAAAACTTTCACTCAATAAAATCAATATCTAATACTTATTTTATCAAGTCTGTTAATTTATTTATTTTTTTTTATTAAAATACTTTGTTAAGATGTCTTTCTGTATATAGTCAATATACATGTACATCTACATCAATGCATGATCATGCAAATATTAAGTGTTCTGTTCACCTGGATAATATCTTGCAAGTTGCTGTCATCACAAAATGTTGAAGCAAGCTGCCATTCAATTTCAAAATAAATGATTCGTAGTAATTTTATGCAGTCTACAACAACATTACTGGTATTATTGAGAAAAATGGTGATAGTATAATAAATATTGTGTAAATAAATTTATTAATATTTGTATTAAATAAAAACAGAAAGAACCCACCTCAAGTCCCATTTTTTCAAATCTTGTTTGCAGTCTTCCAGTTCGGTACAGAGACTTCTATAATGGAAAACATTAACCCTTGTTACTCTAAGTTAACTGTCACCAAGAACATTTATATACATATGAAATGAAATGTTATTTTGATTAATTGCTAAGCTGCCAGAGATCAAGCACTTTGTATATATAATCATATTTGGTGATAAGAAATGCAATAGCACAGTGCCTGGCCCTGTAATGACTGCTACTGGTTGTATCTGTGACATGATCTGTCTCAACAAACACAATCTGATTTAGTAGTCCTGTCCATTAGATGAACTTTATCTATAGGCCTTGTTTTAAAAAGAAAACAGGGTAAACAACATATTATGATTAACATAATGTTTTTTTGCCATATGTACTATGAGCTATGGTGGATCCATGATAGAATTAGGGGATTTTGAATACTGGGCCCAAGTTGTGCAAATATTGCTGATAAAAAATTGTACACCACAATAACTCGCTGCATAGAATTTTTCCTCAAAAATTGTTATTTTTGTCCAAGTCACAAAATAGTACATAGTCAATTTACCTGCATAATTATATGTACTCTAGACATGAAGCCCAATGCAGGAGTGGCTAAAATATCTGGCTCTGTGAATATCAGCTCCCTGAAAAATATTTAAGATTTTACTAGATACTTTGTCAGTAATCAGGTCAACTACACACACTGGACAAAAGAAGTGTCACCCCTACTGAGCCAATACTATGGGGGAGATAAATGACTGTGGAATGATATGCTCCTGGTATCATTTTATTAACATCAAATTTCACAAAAAATCTCAAAATGAGAACAAAATATACATTCTACCAAAATATGCAGTTTCAAGTCCAAAATTAGTACTCAGTGACATAGCCACGTGACCTAATAATAGGTGCCAGTCTACGAAGCAAGGTTTCATATAATTGTGTGATGCGTTCAGGACTTATGCTGGCCCAAGCATGAAACACTGAATATAACAGAGTTTCTTTGCTGGTTAGACGGGCATTTGTCAAAAGTTTTGACATATCATTCCACACATTTTCTATTATGTTTGCATCCGGACTCTGGGCAGGCTACATCACCCTGCGAATGTCCTGTTGGTCAAAACAATCATCAACTGCTCTGGGCCTGTGACAAGGAGCATTGTCATCCTGGTGAACAAATGGATAATTCCTGTCACCAAACATGTTAGTAATAGATGGTAGCAAGCCTGACTCCAAAACATCGATATATTTCTAGTGGTTCATGTTTCCATTAACCACTATCAATTCGCCCAAGCCATGGATGCTGATGCAGCCCCACACCATGATGAATATGCTGCTCCGGGTTCGAAAATTCAGTGCATGTGGTTCAAATGCTTTACCAGCAGTTTGCCAGCATAGTACCCGTCTGTCATCAGAGGTCAGACCAAAGCGACACTCATCAGAAAAATATATAGGACCAATTGTCATGAACTGTCCAGTTCCAGATCCTGTTGACCCTAGTTTACTCTACGTTGCCTGTTTTGTAACGATATAAGAGGTTTCAGTCTTGCTTCCCTGCTGTACACTCTCTGAGCATGTAACCCACGCCTAGCAATTTTCACAGACACATTCCTATGTGTGAAATTGTTCCACTGTGTTGTCAACTGACAAGCAGTGTCGAACTTTGACAACCTGGACATCGAAATCAGTCGTCGGTCTTCACGTCCAGTATTTTTTCTTGGACGACCCATCAGAGGCAATTTGTCTCTTGATCCAGTGTTTCTATACCGAGACCAGACCCTCTACACGGTTCTGACTGAACAATTCAATTGTATCGATATTCTGACATTGCTTATATTCCGCCTCTTCAGGTTAATAACTTGCACCTATAACCGTTAGATAATTGCCTGTATCTTGCCATATTGGAGGAAGACAGGAATAACATTTGCTGTACATGTACAAGACCAACAATACAATTCAATGGTTTAGCGGTTTTATACTCATTAGTCACATTATAAGTAGACCAGGCATTATAAATACCCAAGATCTGCCTACTTTTATTACTCTAGTTAGGGGGTGACACTTCTTTTGTCCAGTGTGTGTAGTCTGAAAATGAGACATGAGACATGTAAAACATTATTAATATTAGCTTTTCAAATTTACAGTTCCTTTTTACTTGTATATCACTTTAATAAAACAAGAAATATATTTGCCACATGATATTGTTATTTTGTTACCACAATAAGTGTAATTGCCATATCAATGAAAACCATATACTGCAGAAAAAATTAAATAAAAAATTGATTTAAAAAACTTGATTCGCCCTTTATATATGATGAATGTCTTTCATATGTAAACATTTTGTTTAGCATTCAGAAACAGCAGGACACATCTTAAATGCAAGTTACAAATTTCGTCCGATTGTTCACTTTCTTTTTGCATGTACAGATAACACCAGAGATACAGGATACAACTCCTCTGTAAGTCGTGACCCGACGTATTATATGCTAACACCAGTAAACAAGGATGAAGTCGGTAAGTGTTTCTTTGGGACACATCTTATCTAGCCAATGTGTGTTATATGGATATAAAGAAGATGTTTGTTGAATCGTGGTGCATTAGGTCTTCTCATCTTGAAATTAAACAGTACGTCTTTACAATACTTTGGACTAATTTCCTGAAAATTACCGTATACCATTTTATCTTTTATTGTTGCCAACACTTCAAAAATTCCTCTTCAATTGGCAACATCATTGTGTATTTCCCAAATAGAAAGACTGAAGACGAAGGCCTTGAAACTGGATGACGACCTTAATGCCTTGAACGACTGGAACTTCATTCAAGCCTTTGCAGCAAAACGAGAAGCAACCCAACAAGAAGAAGAACAAATTTCGGCCCAACACGTATATGTAATCGTATACGTTCGCACAAAAATGGAGAAGTATTGTACACGAATACGAGATGTATGGCAAAATTCGGGGTTTGAAAAAGAATTTCCGCACGCTAAGCTCATGCTTTTGGAGTATTTCTCTCCGAGCGGAATCCATGTCACCGCAGACCCAGAATATAGTCCGAGAAGACAAAAATCAGCTGTTTGGATGAAAAAAATGCATCCCATAGTGCAAAACTTCTATAAGGATATCAGGGACAAGCACAGCAACATAACCTATATCACGGCGGATACATTAGTGTATAAGGAAAGAGAAAATAGAATAGAGGAAACTGATTGCATTGTTATCTACGTCCCGTACAAGGGAATAGTGCCAATCAAAGAACACTTTTTTCCAAAGAGTTATAAAGGCCTCCCCGTGGACATTCGACGAGGAGTCTTCGAATTCTTAGTGAATGAACGTTTCGAGAAGCGATTGAAGACCGGCTGTAGTGTTAGTAAGTTTGATGAGAAAAACAATCATCTTGGGACAATAGGTATGTTTGTAAAAAGTCGCCAAACCAATGAGGTTGGACTGATAACAGCATATCATGTTGTTACAGGTGACAAAGAAGTAAGTGCACCAAGTGATCTAAGAGAACCCCCAGAAAAGAAAGAGATTTTAAAACTTGGTTTACGAGAACGGCAGAGTTCAGATATAGGTTCCAGCATTGCAAGCAGTAACGCCGGTGATGCACGGGGCAACGAAAAAACTACCCTTATCCATCAGGCATCGTGCATTGATAGAGCAAATGCACAGAGTGAAAGTAGACTATGTGCATATGTATTCGATAAGATTTTTTACGGAAACCACCCCACCCACAAGCTAAAATTTTTAAAGAACATTCAAGTTCCAGTCACTTTGCAGGGCCCCGTAGTACCTACTGGCCAAGGACTTGACACTTTCAGTGGTGATCAACTGGTCTCTGTAGATCCTGTTGTAGGTGTGGATGCCTTGTTTGCTCCAGTTTTTACGATTAGAGCTCCCACCGCTGATTTCAATGACGCTGCAAATGAATTATCGGGATATAGACTAAACCAACAGCTAAGTTTCAGAAATGCACGTATTCTCCCCTTGGAAAAACTGTTTGGAAGACCAGGAGCCATAGAAAGTGAAGATGTAATGGTTTACAAAAATGGCTGTACAACAAACCTCACCCAAGGCAAAATCAGATTTTTTGGTTCTGTAACTTTCCCTCATGACCAGAACCTGCTCGTTAGAACGCCTAGACTTTGCGGCTACCTGGGAAATATGACATCCGTTGCACTCAATAATCTGTTAGAGGTCGAACGAGTAACTACTGGTGCGGGTCCCAGTCGCGTGTTTGCTGATGGAGGAGACTCTGGCTCCATTGTTTTCTCGGTGAATTTCCCAAGGGATGACCGAGTTGGCTCAATGAGAGATAACAGCGTTGGTTCAGTAGGCGATGACCACATAGATATTGTCGGAATGCTTGTCGGTAGACTCACCAACACTGATATATACGTTGTGACTCCAATAGAAGCAGTTTTTGATGCTCTTGATGTAGAACTACTCAATGATGATGATTATAACGAAATTGAAGAATTATGGAGGAACAGAAATATAAACGACTAAAGCCTACAGTACA